TCTTGCTAGATATAGAGAATGTGATGCCTACCGAGAGAGGATACAAAGAGAAAGAGAAAGGGAGAGGCCGTATAGGAGGAAAGTAGGGAGGGGCAAAGCACATTCATGATAGTTACAACTTGGAATGTAAGGGGGCTGAATCAAGCCTCAAAACAAAACACTATACTTAATTTCATAAGAGTAAATAAGGTACGCATCTTTTGTCTTCTTGAAACAAAAATGTCAATTACTAGTTTTTCCAATTTTATGCAATTTAGGCTTCCTAATTGGAGTTTTGTTACAAACTTTGATAAAATAGGGGAGGCCGAATAGCTATAATATGGGATCCTTGTTTTATCTCCTTATGATGATGCTCTAAAAGAGGACTTGTCGTAGCTAAGAAAAGAACACTTTTTCTTTAGGAGGCGAGGAAGCCTATCTAAAATAGAAGGCAAGGTTGTCCATTTGATTCAGGCTGTCCATTCTTAAAGCATTTGTCCCACACCGGAAAGCTATAAAATAATTAAACACTATATAAAGCTTTAGGCTACTCCTCCTATCAGGTTGACCTTTTTTTATGGAACCTCGAGTCTTAACATGGTATCAGAGCCAATTCCGGTTATGGTTTGACGGGTTGTTTAGCACCCATGATTAAGGGTAGCTTATTAAGGGTTTGTTTGACCCGTTTATACACCCCTATATTGTCCAGCCCAGATCGGACCGAGGGGCGTGTTAAAGCATTTGTCCCACACCGGAAAGCTATAAAACAATTAAACACTATATAAGGCTTTGGGTTGCTCCTCCTATCAGATTGACCTTTTGGATGGAACCCCGAGTCTTAATAGGTCTCACACCCAGTCTATGGACCGGGTAGCAAGTGAGTTCATTAGTTTTTTTCAAGGGCTTTTTGGCACTTCACAACCATCTCTTGACTTTGATACTCCCTCCGTTCCTAAAAATTCTTCCCGGTTTGAATTGGCACGCTTATTAAGAAAGTGGAATAAAGTGGAAATGTGTGGTTGTGGTTGTGTGAGAAAAAGGTAAAATGAATGTGAGCCACACAAATTGTCCAAAAAGGGAAAGTGGGAAGAATTTTTGGGAACGGCCCAAAAAAGAAAGTGGGAAGTATTTTTGGGAACGGAGGGAGTATTAATGTGATTGCCTCGGCAAACACTATAGATCCAACACTGGCTAATGACTTAGTTAAACATGTGTCTGATTTGGAAACCAAACAAGCCTTGTTTGATTACGAAATGATAAGGCACCAGGACCGGATGGTTACTCATCAGCTTTCTTCAAATCAAATTGGAGTATAGTTGGGAGTAGGCCTGAGCGCGGATCTGGGAATTCCCGTTCCGTACCGAAGAACCGTCCCGAACCGTTCCAGAACCGATAGAACCGGAAAAAAGTAATACCGTACCGTACCGAATTTTTTTAATAATATGGTACGGTACCGGTTCTTAGTGAGAACCGTACCGGAACCGTCCCGGAACCGTACCGAACCAAACCGTCTCGTACCGTCCCGAATTGTCCCGAAAACTAGTGTTATAATATAATAATAATTTTTATATATAATACTCCGTATAATATATTATATACTGAGTATAATTGTTCGTATATTACTCTTACATCTTCTTTGGGCCCAATCCAATTATTAAAACAAAAACACTAAATGATTCGGAGTATAAATAATGCTACGTAAATAGAACAAAAACTCTTAAACCTAATTCAGTCGGCAACATATCCTCTAGCAGACCAAAAAGTCCAAAAGTGAGGAACGGCAGAACTAATCGCCTTTGGTGTTGTTCCTCAATTCGGCTCACCTACAAGGCTAATATAATCTTGCAAGTTCTTCTCTTCAATTTTTGTAGAGTTATTTATAAATGTTAAAATCTAAAGTTTTTATATTTCATGGGAGTTATTTAGTTATTTAAGAACTGTACCGAACCGTACCGTACCGGACCAAAAATTGGTACGGAACGGGACAGGTTCTACATATATGCCGGACGGTACCGGTTCTTGATTTTAAAAAGAACCGTACTTTGGAACGGGACAGGTTTTTTGAAATAACCGTACCGTCCCACGCTCACCCCTAGTTGGGAGGATGTGTGTGCAGCTGTGAGGGAGTTTTTTGAGTCTGAGACTATGCTTAAACAGGTCAACCATACTGTGGTAGCACTCGTTCCTAAAACAACTCACTCACCTTCGATTTTTGACTTTAGACCTATCTCTTGTAAAAATGTGACTTATAAGATCATTACCAAGATTCTTGCATCTAGGCTTGGACCGTGTCTCCCTAGTGTGGTTAACCCCTCACAAGGTGCCTTTGTTGATGGTAGGCTAATGGTTGGTAACATTTTTCTTGCACAGGAACTAGTGAGGGGATATGTTAGAAAAAGGGTCACACCTAGATGTATGATTAAGGTTGATCTTAGGAAGGCTTATGATACTATTTCTTGGGATTTTCTTGATAAGGTGTTAAGGGGAAAGGGGCTGCCCAACATGTTTGTAAATTGGATTATGGAATGTGTCACAACCTCTTCCTTTTCTATATCCATTAATGGTGTACTCCATGGATGGTTTAAAGGGAAAAGAGGTTTAAGACAAGGGGATCCCATGTCCCCAATGTTGTTTGTTTTATGTTTGGAGTACTTCTCTCGGATGCTAGACATTAGGACCTCAACTCCTAGCTTTTAACTATCATCCTTTGTGCTCCAAACTAAAGATTTCACATTTGGCATATGCAGATGATTTGATGTTATTTTCTAAAGGGGATCCTACTTCTGTAAAGATATATGTCGATGCATTACATGACTATGGTAAGGTTTCTGGCCTTATGGTCAACCATGAAAAGTCCAATATCTTTGTAGGTGGGAATATTGCTAATCAACTACCATTTATACTCCAAATGGTAGACTTTCAACAAGGATCCTTTCCGGTTAGGAACTTAGGAATTCTATTGGCTCCTCTTAAGATATATGTGGCCCAATTCTCTCCTTTGATTGACACGGTCACGGATTATTTGAATGCACGGAATTCCAAGTCCTTATCCTATGCGGGGAAAGTTGAGTGCAATCTTTCTCGTTAGGTATATTTCCGGTTCCTAGAACCATTTTGGACAACACTATGGGCCTTTGTCGTATTTTCCTTTGGGGGTAAACATGCAAAGGTTGCATGGGATGATATCTGTTTACCTAAAGATGAAGGGGGTTTGGGGATAAGAGATACAAAGGTTTGGAATAACGCCTTATTATCTTGTACTTTATGGAATTTACATTCAAAACAGGATACTTTATGGGTTAGATGGGTTCATGGAGTATAACTCCATGGGAGGGATGTGTGGACTTTTATTCCACACAATAGGGACTCCCAATTGATGAAAAGGTTATCCCTAATCCGAGACTTCATTGTCTCCAAGTTCTCATCTTTGGCCGAGACCCTAACCCACCTTGGAAAGACATCTTACAATGGTAAGCTATAAACATATCTTACAATGGTAAGCTATCCTCTTTCAAGGTACATGATCTCTTGAGAATTAGAGATACTACTCATGCATATATGTCTTTTATAAGGAAGTCTTATATTTCTCCTAAATTCTCATTCATAATGTGGCTTGCCTACCGTAACAGACTAGCTTCATTTCATTTCATTTTCATTTACCCGAGTGCCACAAAGGCCCCCACCTACGGTGGGGTAAGGGAGGTTCGGATGTACGCAGTCTTACCCCTGTACTAAAGCACAGAGAGACTGTTTCCGGATGACCCATAGTGAAAATCGCGTCCAAATTGCATGGATTGACTGCTGCTTCATAACAAAGAAGCACAGACAGTTTAGTGAGCCATTTTGCTTTATTCCATCATATTCTCAAGCCAAAAAATAATGAATCTTTGGCTCCATTGCAAATGATGGAAATCGTAATATACTAGCTACTTATGATAATTTGGGATACCTTGATCTTGTTAATATATGTCGTCTTTGTAAGGGTGGTCCGGAGACGATACCACACCTATTTTTTTAGTGTAAGATTAAGGGCAAGTTTGGAAAAAGGTCATAGAATGGCTAGGAATATCAAGGCAAATGTCATCTCTAAGGAGTGCATTGCAGTGGATTCAAAGAGATTGCAATGGAGCACACATTAGGGCAAAGGCGACAAGGATAGCCTTTAGCTACACCATCTAATCTAATGGATATGGAGAGTTCGAAATGCATTGTGTTTTGATGGAGCAACTCTAAAGATGGAAGATATGCTTACACATATCAAGTATATGGTGTATAAAGTTCTCTATTCTATATACACGTACCATATGATTACCTTTTGAACTTATCATCACCTTTTTGTCACGGCTTGATGGCTGGTTTTTGTTGATGATGGACTTAGATGGTATGCTTAGACAGCTTTGAGGTGTTAGGGTATCCTTTCTTGGATATGCCCCCAATTTTGTCCATATGATGTACATAAACATTATGGATGATTCTATATATATTTACATTTCATCCAAAAAAAAAGACGCATCTTGATGGAATGATGAAGTCAAACAAGCATAAGGACCAAAAGGGAATGCAACAAAAAGTTGGAGCGATGAGAACATTAAGGAGTACAATGAGGCTAAAAGAAAAGCAAAGAAAGCCGTATAGGAAGCAAGTGAGAAAGTGAACAAGGAGTTGTATGTAAAATTGGATTTTAATAGTTGAGATTATTCATGTCCATTTTTCCTTTTTTAAATCACAAAGGGCTAATGTGCCAAATTTATATATCATGAGGGGGTTTGGTGCATTAAACCCCTCTCCGATAATGTTGATGGGTTTGTAAGCTGGATTTGCTCTTTTGATTACCTCTTGTTTACAATTTTTATTAGATACTTGTTTGGTTCTTATCGCATGCAAGACAAATGCTCTTGTCAAGTTGAAAATAACAACAAAGACACAAAAACCAGTGGATGGGTTTTCTTATTTCTATCTAAATGGTTTCATCGTTATACTGAACTCCCGAGGCAATCTCTAAAAGCTGCCACTGAACATACCTCCATAAAACCAGCCAGGCAGCTCCACATACGGGGCACAAATCTTGATTGCCTACTTAGGAGTGCACGGTCATTTTCTTTATCTATGACTAACATGATGACAACCTGTGGTAAGAAAGCCCTACATAAATTGGTGATACTCAGCTCATTGGGCAAAAGAAACCTATGAAAATAAAGTAATGGCATCTGCAGTACCGGATCAACTCGGGGATAGACTTTTTTCTTGCACAACGCGTTTGAGCACTGCTTCCTTTTCCCAGCATCTGTAGGAACATTCCGACTTCCACAAACCCCACAAAACCGTGACACACCATGCCATTCAATAAGTGATCTCGCCTGATAAAATTCCAAATATTTAGTATTATGGAACACTTGTGAGGTTTCCAAGTGAGTATTAACAATGTTTTTGTGTGAAGCTACAGAGTAATAACGGTAATATGGTCTATGCAACCTGTATGAGCAAGCTAAAGTAAAAAAAATCTAATGGGACTGTCTTTTTCATGGAAATATTTATAATAAACTGAAATAAAGGCAACCATTCAGCAAACAGCCCATCTGCAAAACAAAAAAAAATCTGGATGGAGTTTATCAAATCAGGATTCAAGTTTTAAGTTGTAAGGCCCATTTTCGAATCACAAATAGTATCGTAAGATACACAACTAATAAAAATATAGTATATCTCAGTAAAAACATGTAGCATAAGTAAAAAATACAAGTTCATACTATCGTATAATATATGACCTTCAATAATCAAAATGATTGCCATTCTAGGGGATACATCAAAATTAAAAATAGCAAAAACATTGTTTGTGTTCATCAGTTCACTATTAGTGTGGTAAGACGGACTGCATATCATCTGGAATATATATATTATAATGTAAAATACTCAGCAAACTGATGCTTCATTCTCGCAACAACACCCCAACAAGTATGAGAATGGTAGTTGTATTTCACTAAAACTCAAAGTGTTGTTTAATGCTTATACAGTGTTTCCATGCTATATCTTCTACGGAGTTTTTTTCTTTGGCTTACCCATTACGATGAGTCGATGATAGAAGAAGAGAAGAAGGTATGTAGAAAGGAAGATGAAAAATGTAATATTGAGAGGCAGTCAGGCAGAGAGAGAAAGACTGAATTAAATGTAAGGTTTAGGTTTAAGAAGAAGAATTAAGTTTCTTTATAATGCCTGAGCCCTGAGGTAAACGAAAAGTCATCAGGTATTTTTTCCTCAGAAAAGTTGAGCCAAAGTCAAACCCTGAAAGGCTTTTTAATACTTGGCCTAACACACTGGAAATCTTGATAGTAAGATGCACTTTTTGAATCACAATTTCTAAGATTCAGTGTAATACACTATGACACGACTATGATTTACAGCAATTGTTTATTCATCCATTCAATTTGCACTATTTAGGTAGAACTTGCATCGTGCTGTACGAACCATACAAATCTAACTGCACTGCACTGGATGACTAATATTTGCAAACAATATAGTCAAAGATTCAAAGTTACTAGAGATTAATCTGGAAAACCTGATTTTTTAGCGGAATCGCTGATTATAGTCTTATAGACTAAAGAACCCATACAACAAGCCTATAGCATAGTTGTCAATGGTAGAATATGGCGCACCGGCGCACCCCACATGCGCCATATGGCAATACGCCAATACCAAAGCCCCCTCGCCACAAAAAAACCCTCCTGGCGATGACTATACATGTGGCAGCGCCATACTGGCACCATCACCATGCCATGTGCGCCATATTTTTAAACAGATTTTAACATGTTTACTTAGTTACTTTTGGGCTTTGGCCTTGATAACTAATTAATTAACCAGTCAGGCCATAATATTAATAAAAGTTCTAATAAAACCCTAATAAGAAGTGAATAAAGACACCGGCTAACGTAATGCCAGAGATAACTGCTCAACTAATGTAAAGCCGGAGTCAAAAAGTTGCGCAAGTGGGGAATGACAGAAGGGGAACTCCATGAAATGGCACAAGGTACGTGAAGAGTAATTAATTTAATATCTACTCATATTAGGGTCAAAGCAAGGAAAAGATAAGACTGTTGCCAAAAAGGAATGATATGGTAAACATTTGAAAGAATCAATGTCTTCAAGATCAAGCGTTCAGAAAAATGAAAATATGTTTATATGATATTGAGCATTACAATGAATGGATTGATGAGACAGCCAAGCAAAATTAAATTGAAAATTGCGATGTAGTGGAAGAAGTAGTTGGTGTTAATGAAGCAACTCACAACACTTGAGCAACAACAATACATCGGCTGCAAGTTGAAGATGAGACGAATGAGATTGAAGATCTTTCTATGAGTGAAATGAAAGAGGATAATGGAAAAGTTCCTGAAATAGGAGTAAACAAGTTTTGGAATTCCAAAATAGAACTGCTATGTTTTCTTCCCCTAATAGGAGTAACATGACCGTATAAGTATTTACTGCCAACTTGGAGTCATTACTGCCAAAATAGTTGTAGTACTAGACATTGACATGACAGTATTTTTCAAGCATGATAGCTCTAATCCTATTTCCGGAAGACAAATATAGCAATCTTATTTTGGAATTCCAAAACATGTTTACTCCTATTTAGGGCATTTTCCCGTTGATAATTGATGATATCAAGCAAAAAACAAGTTGAAATATTTTGGATGACATGAACCTTTTTTTGAATATTAAAATAATTTTTGGAACTACTTTTAACTATTTTAACTTCACGTGATTTAGTTAGATTGTTAAAATGTGGGTATTCAACTGTTTTGTTCATTTTTTGGTGGTGGAATCATAGATTTATAGTGTCTGTCTATAGTTTATATTTTTAGTAAATATTTTCTGTGTCATATGGTGACGCCATAATGCACCATAGCTATGCCATGGACAAATGCCTTAGCTCCATAACTGTCTCCATACGCCATGACAACTATGGCCTATAGTATATACAATAATAAGTTTAGCTAATGTCAATAAAGACCCTACTAAATAACAATCACATTACTTCATAGATATAGGGCAGTAAATGAATACAGTGTTCTGTGAATAAAAAAGGGTTCAAGCTCGTTTGGTGTTTGTTAGAGTTATAAGATTAGTTAATTGAACATAAAAAAAACTCACTATCTATGTTATCTAATCACCGAGTACTATCCGAGAACTTGCATCTCAGGGTAGGGCCTTGCCGAATTGTACTCTGAGTCACACTGTTCCATCTTTCCGAGTAACTCGTCCAGTACTCCGCAATTTTCACTACATGGTGACAAGGTTGACTCGCCGAGTTACTTGGCAGCCAGTAAAAATTATTTTTGGTGGTTAAATATGAAAAGTTTAAACTAACTGGGATTTATGGAATTTATGAATAATTAGTAGGTATTTAAAAATTGGAAATATAAGATTACAAAGTCAATTTAGAATTGGGGACATGGAGGATGAAGAAGAAAATGATGACCCTGAACTCAATAAGATTAGTTTAGGTATTTAAGATAAAAGTTCAGAATTAAGTACTTATACGTGATTTCTTTTATTGGAAGTTAGAATGTTTATGATTGTGGGGATTTGTTTCCACTTCATTATTAGGATTATTAGGATTATTATTATTTTATTCATATAATACAAATATATTACTAGAATTTTGGGGCATTTATGTTTTTAAGTTTAATTAATACATGGACGAGTAATCACCGAGTAATCCCGAATCATCGGTCCTAATCGTTATTCGGCCCTTGATCGAGTTGCCACCGGAGTAGCAATTTAACTACTTAGCTCACTATGGAGCTTTTTAATAATGATCAGAGTGACCGTTCATGAACATATCATTTGATATTAATTTTATCCATTCACTTACAAGCCAGTTTGTACAGCTCATATGAACATATCATTTGATATTAATTTTATCCATTCACTTACAAGCCAGTTATTCGCTTATATGTTAAGGTTTTTAATACATCTATATACTGTTCACGAAACAAAACTGCAAGTGCATTGGCATAAGAGTAGGTTGGTAATGTAGAAAATTAAATACTAGCAAAGTACTACCACTTCATAACTTGAAATTAAATATTTCAATGGGTAAGCCATGGATGAGTACTACTACTATTCTTTTTAATTGAATGTAACAGAAAACTTAATGTTACTCCTTTTCCCAAAAGTAAAGTACCCGCATTTCTTTTTGAGTTGTCCCAAAGTAAACTTCAAACATTTGCTTTTGAGGAAAGAATTGTGATAAGTAAAAGATTTCAGTGTAAACATTAGATTTAGAAGTACAAGGTTGTAACTATTGCTCTTGAGTCTAAGGATAGAAATTCAATTACCACAGATGAGCACTTCATTGTAATACCCATTGATACCACATTAGTATATTATACACTCATATCTACGTCATATCCTTTACTCCCTTACCCCCTTGCATTGTTCCATTTAATTCCTCTTTCCCTTCTGCATTGTGCATTTTTAAAGGTATTTCTGACATTTGATTATGAGATTTAATATAAATTCCTTGAAGATTTGGAATAATGTTTGCCTGTTTCTTTGTTCATTTGGTATGATGATGACTGGTTTGTTTACGGGTTGTGACCGATATTGTTCAACTTAACAAGATTGTTCATGGGAAATAAATGAGCGGGCATTAACATATAACACCCTTAACAAATGTATTTAAGCATTCATATAAATACTATTAATGTTAAATGCACGAAAATGAGCAACTATTTTATACTACACGAACTTACTCAAACAGAGCATAGGCTGGAACTCGTTCATTTACACCCCTACATATACTATTATAAATTATCACATTTTCCAGTCCGTCTCCATCAGCATAGAAAATGGAAAAGATGAGAGAGATGGGAGGCCAAACTCACATGACCAGCAACAGCAAGTTCGCCCATCACACGAGAGTCTGCCCAATCAGAGGCCACCATCAAGCTCCTCAGCTCAACAAAGCAAAGTTGTCTATCACCCAAGTTTTTCACCAAACCACTACCACATTCAGACACATCCATAGCCCAGTACACAACACTTAGATCCTCTCCCCCCTCGTCCTTGGACCCCAGATAGACCAATGAATCGTCACTCAATTTTACATCACAGTCCTCCAACAATCCCCTACACTCGCCAAATTCCAACCAGCCCAGGTGCCAACTGGGGTCTGGGTCACCTGAGGAGCCGGCTAAAGGCCGGCCCTTTCTGAAAGGCAAGATTCTGAAATTGGGCGAAAGGGGCTCAATGGTCCTACCCAAGATTAGGGTTTTCAGAGTTTGGAGAGCTGAGGTGGATGAAAATGGATCGGTGGGCTTTGGAGTCCTGAGCTTGATGGGGTTGCCCGCGAAGGCATGAGAGTTGAAGTTCATCGACATGGCGGGAACGGTGATCCAAGATTTGTGGGATATGAGTGTTCTAGACAGACAGAACATATGAGAAGCAGCCGTGGTCGTGGAAGAAGACAGAAGAATGATCATTTCTCACCATGTTGACGGATCTAACAACGATTCAACTTTCATGACGAAGTGAAGTACCTGTCCTGGCGGTCCGCCTGTGGTTGGGAAAAACAATGCCAAAAATTTAGCATTTATTTTACCCCTCTCTCACATCCATTCTTCTCTCCTTTTGTCCATCCATACGGTTCGCTCCCCTCTTTTCCTCTTTTTTCCATTCTTCAAATCTTTTTTTTGGATAATTTTTTCTAGGAAAATTTTATAGTGCATATGCTTTAGGGATGTTTTGGTGCATTCCATATTTGTAATTAATTGGTATGTATCTAGAAATTGAATATGTATCTAGTATTTCATTGGTAGTTTAATCCACCTCATCAGTTTTATAATTAAAAATAATTTGTACGTTTTTTTGCACATAGGTCCTTCCCTGGTCTTTTACGTTTTACGCTGAAAGAAAAATCCAACTTCTGAGTTATCGTTTGGCTGCGAGAGACATCTGAGGCGAAGAAACCAGGGGGGAGAGGGCCGAATGAAAATCCGGCATCTCAATCCAAGGTAGGTTCATCATCTTTGTTGTTGTGCGTATTCACCACCTTTAAATACAGATACATATTCAATTTCTTTGTCTTGAAGGTTAATGTTACTTCCTCCATTATCATTCATCTCCTCTTCCATTAAGTTTTCCGATTTGTATTTGAAAAGTACCACCAAATTAGGGTTTTGATGTTACTTCGTAACCCAACCACATCCCTTTAGGTGCACTTTTATTTGGGTTTTGGCCTGCAATTGAAGTGTTCCTCGCTTGTTTAACGATCCCAAACGGATAATGCCCCCTCATATCCATTGTACACTAATTATTTTAATGATGTCCTGATCATCCTAGGCAAATAAAAGTTCTGAATGTTGAAGGTGAAAGTCTTTCAACAAACTGGAGTTCCTCTTACCTTTCTCATTTGCCTCAGCCACATACATGGGAAGGGGAACAACCAAAATCAATCACTAAATATCCTCCTGACCACTAACTTATATGATAGTATAAGGTTAAAGTTCATCTTATATTATAATGGCAATAATTATAATGTTTTTATTATAGTAGAGAAAAGAGGCGAATGGTTTTTTTGTCCACACATTAAAAAATACCATGTGTATCATTCTTATGAGTGTATGAGTTCCTGCATGTTCTTTTGGCAGGGGACCAAGAGGTGGCGGTGAATTTATCACTTTTGGTGCTTTTATTGTAACACCACTCATCTTCTGGCATATGTTGCGGCCTGCGTGTTACATTGACTTCCTTTGAGATAAAGCTTAATATACAATAAAATAATGGCATTTCTAAAAATCTGTATTACTTGCTATATATGCTTGAAATGGTTTCTTAATTGTGCAACAGTTCAATTGATTTTAGCTTGCCTTAGCCCCCCATCAAATGCAGGCACACAAAATTCCATTGCCTTGTTCTGATGACATGTCTGTTTCCTTTTCTTTTGGTCAGAAGAATTTGGAGGAGAGGTGGTGAGGGGATGATTGGTTTTTTTTACTAATTTATCTCTATTTGTAAATCATGTATTTCTTCAACTTTTTCATCTTCACTATCTTCCTGACCATCTAAATGTGAGAATAATTTAATAAAAAAATCACTCACCCCTTAATCAATCACCCACTCACCCCTGAAGTCTCCCCACCAAAGAGGTCTTATATAGGAGGTGGGGGAAATTTAATTATCTCTTCGCTTTGGAATGAAATGAGAAATGAAATAAAACTCCCATCTTGTATTGGCGTTGGACTTTAATGCTGATTGGTTGCTCTATTCTCCACTGCAAAGTTAGTGTGTTGGTCATGGAAAGTTTAACTGTGGCAGGAGTATGAAGATAAAGTGAAAGAAAAGGGTGAAGCACCAGTTATGTTCAGGTTAAGAAGCCATTTTCTTGTAATTTATATAATGTGAATTTGTGATAAGGGCAGTATTACATTTCTTTGAGCTTTTTTGTTGGTGTGAAGAAACCTTTTTCTCATTTCTATGCCGCAGCCATTTAGGACCTCCACCTCGAAGGCGGACTGCATAAGAGGAAGATATGGTCAAGCACCCAAAACTTGAAGTAAGTCCTCACTTATGTCCCATACATGTCTCTGACTTGAGAATAAAGAGTTCTCCATTCACTTTTTTGCAATGAAGTCTGAGAAGAATGAAATACTGGTGCCAACTGACCACCAAAACGAAAGAGATGGTGAAAGTAGTTCTTCAGGAAGTAAAGCCTCTTCAATTGAGGAGTTGAAAGCCTTCATTACTTCACCTATGAAAAAACTGATTTAGAAAGTATTAAGATGGTTGTTCATTCTGAAGCAGAAAAACATGCTATTTTGGATGAGAATGTGTCATATACGTATAATGGTTTTTGTTGCTGCTGTTATGGTAAAGAAAATGTAATAGATAGGGCGAGTATTTGATAAATGCAGCGCTTATTCTATATTAAGTTGGTATTGTACCATTGAATGCATGTACTGTTTTTTGTCAATCAAAGTGTGTTTGCAATGAGGCTTTAGGATTTACTGTTGCTGTTTTTTTATGTGTGCTTTTTGTTCATCTTGTTCTGATTTTGTTAATGTTTCTGGTAATTAAAGAAAAACATTTCTTGCCTCCAATATTACAAAAGGGTTTGAAGACACTTATAGTAGGGTTGGTCCTGATATAAGCAGCCTCACCATAAGCACAAAAAAAGGGTGAATGACCCTGAAATAGAACTCAACTCTTCATTAATGTAATGTTAAATTGATAGTTTACATGCAAAAATTTAGCTCTTAACTAATGAGCTGCAAAAAAAAAACTTCACAAACAACAAAATATCCCTTCCAAGATCAAAAACTACAACTAGCTCAAAATGCCCATCAATACTACCCAACTTATCACGAGCTATCTTCTCAATTTTTCTTTTCATCCCTTCGATTATTTTGTTCCTATCCTTTGCACTCCCATGCTTGACACAAAGAATTGCAATCCTGGATCCATCCCCGGTGTGTATCATCCATACAAGATCTGCGCTTGATAATGGCTGGATTACATCAGCACCAGAAGACTGATTAGCAATGCTTAGAAACTCCACAATTGCCTTGTGTATGATAGAGTGATCGAGAATTCTCCTCTCTAGTATAGGCTGAAGCACATATTTCATGTGACGTAAGACTGATGATTTTTGTAGATGTAGCTAGGAAATGACATCTGCAACACTGGCCACATTCCCTGAGACCAAATTCTTGAAAATCCGGAGTTCAGGTGAATATAGTTCCATCAGAAAAGCTTGTTTCTGAGCTACACTCCTGAATTTATATGCATGCTCATTAACAAGCGAAACAACCATATGTCCATATGACGAAGAAGAGAGGCGACATGCCCATGAAGAGATGACATAGAGTCTGCCATTTGTTTTTTCAATGCATTATCTAACATCCTTGTCACCAAATGGACAACATAAGTGTTAAGGAAAGGGTTATAAAAGGCTGATATGATATAACGGTATCTATTAAATAAAAGGTTGAAATATTAGACTAGTTTCTTAGTTTCTTGTAACTCCAAAGTAAGTGAGAGTAATAATTCACAACTCAAATTGTATGTAGATGGATTGGTTTCATGAAGAAATCAATGTTTAAGAGCCAAAAAGTAGGTGGATACCACATATTATCGACTAAATTATTAGTAGAGAGATCAGTTTTATGAAGATATCAATGCTTACTCTCTACCCGAAAGTAGGTATAAAATATTTTCTTAATATAAATTAGTAAAGAATCAAATCTCTTCTCTGTTTAGCATTTGCATATCTCCACACGCAGAATCAAATATAAATAGATAGGGGGATATGAAATGGAAATAAAATAGGAACAAAATCCCTTACATTTCACTATCAAATGTCTTATGTTCCTAATTGCAATAGAAATCTGGTGAAGGAATCCCTTCTGTACTGTGAGGGCACCAATAACCCTAAGTAGCAATAGAAATAAGAATAACATTATAACAAGAGGGGGTTCAATTCAAGGGCAATCAAAATTTGTAGGAAAATTATTAGATTTGGAGGAATGAAAAAGGTCCACAATTGCAATACAAATTTGGTGAAGAAATCCATTCAGTCTAATAACCTTAAGTGGCAAAAAAATGAAGAATAACAAAAGGGGATTCAATTCAGTGAAGGTAGGTTGTGAACTAAATGAAAGGGAACAATGAAAAAAAATTACCTCAGTGACAGAAACGAAGTGGGATAAGATTACTGCCAGTGTTGCGATGGAGTGCACTACGAGATCTGGATGAATCGAAAGAGAGAATAGGCACGATGAAGATGAAAGACATACTAAGCAGCACACGGCTGAAGAGAGAAGGAAACTTATCTTTTCAGACAACACATCGACCGACCATAACTGGTCCATATTCATCCGACGTTGATCGATTCTGGAACCGTACAAAAAGAAAGTCTTTATACGCTCACGTGCTTGGAGTTTCGTTGGAATTTTGATCTGCCATGGCCATGCATGTTTGCTCTGTAGAAGTGAAGACGGAAAATGATATAAGAGCGATAGGAGGATGTGTTCTGAAAAGGGAAAAAGTGTTTACTATTAATGTTCCATTTTACGCAGTATAAGGTTCACTATGCAATTTATAAAGTGAATACACATATGTTTAAAAAATAGATGAGCTGGACCAATGAGATAATGCCAACTATGGAATGCACCAAAACATTCCATAACATTGATGCACCGAAGAGCTACCCTTTTTTCTAACTTATATACTACTTCCGTCCCATTTATATTGTCTCTTTATGGTTTACGACGTTTGAGCGATTATAAAAGAAACAGATCCCTATCCGCATTCAAATTATTTTTAGGAAAAAAATTTACATATTCAGAAACTACATTTAAAGCTTTACAAAGTCGCAAAAATTTGAATCAAATGATAAATTTTTTATGTATAAAGTAATAAATTAAGAGTGTGTTGGGATATATTATCCCGGCCTATTACTGTTCAGGAGCCCAAGACATTATCCAGTACGGAGCCCGAGCAGCTGGGCCCATTTCGGCCCATTAGGCCCAATATTGGCCCGTTTGGCCCGTTAGGGTGGAGAGCACCCTTTCCTTTTTGTCTATAAATAGGGAGCTTAGCCTCCATGTAAAGGATCGCTTCCTTCTTCCTTCTTCCTCTAGAATAGCTCAAATACTCCATTAATGGAGCTGAAATTGTACTTTTAATGGTGAAGAGAGTCCTAATGAGAAAGAGAGGGCTTGGACATTAGCCTAAAAAGTCCCGTGGTTTTCTCCCTTTCGGGTTTCCACGTAAAAAACTGAGTGTTCATACATATATTTACTATATCGTGTTGGATTAAACTCAACACTGGCGCCGTCTGTGGGAATCTGTCCAAAAAGATTCATGTATTTACTGTTCTTGAGTTTCTACGGGGAAAATTCATACGAAAAGCTACTGTTTTCAGCAAAAGAATAAGGAAAAAATACGATTCTGGAAAGAAAGAAGGAAGCGGAAGAAGCGGAGAAGCTATGAAATCTGGGAGGTCCAAATCTGGATTTTTTCCAGATATGCCCTTGAGGTCGCCGTCACCGCCGTCACCGCCCTCGCCGGCATGGAACCTCCTGCGAGTGCTACGACACCGGAGGAAGCTCGCTGCAACATCCCAGCTGTGTCTGACGGCCTCCTCCGAGCCGCACACCACCGTTCATCCTCAGCAGCCAGCTGTTTGTCGCTCATCCACCTCGTTGCTGACGCGACCTGGAAGAATCTCTGCCATTAATGGCGATTTGAAGCTCAGGGGAGATACGTTGTGGAGCTCCGTCGGCTAGACCTGTCAATGGGTCGGGTCCGGGTCGGAACGTGGTGTTCCAGACCCGGACCCGCTAAGTAAATAAAGGACCCGGACCCGACCCGTTTACCCGGCGGGTCTAAAAATTTGGACCCGGACCCGGACCCAACGGGTCTCAGAACCGGGTCGGGTAGACCCGCCAAGAATCATATGCACAAGTGCACAACATTATATAAGCTTTTTGACACAACATTATATAGTTTTTAAAAATAGCAAAACATGTATATGAAATGTAAATCAAAGTGCAAAAATTTAAAAGCAAAATATATCTTCACTTTTCAAAAAAAAAATCAAGGTTTATCATAGAAAATTAGTACTTTTATTGAATAAAATTCCGCACTTTGTGTCTCTTTCTCTCCCACAGAAAACTCGTATATTAGACTAGAAATTAGGTCACAAAAAGTTCTTTTTGACTAAAAGCATATTATATACTATTATATTATCACTTATACATTAGGTATGTATTAATTTGTATCTTTTTAATCAAAGAATTAAAACTAATCACTTTATATATATATATATATATATATTAGTTTGTGTTTTATTTGAAGTATTATAACTAATCTCTTTATGTATTAGTGTGTGTATATATACTAATAAGAAATTTTAAACGGGTCCGGGTCCTTAACGGGTCGGAATCATATGTACCATATCCGACCCGTTTATTAAAAGTACTAACGGGTCCGGGTTCAGGTCCGGGTAAACGGAATAAAATAAGGACCCATACCCGTTAAAAACAACCGGGTCCGGGTCGGGTCCGGGTCTAGACCCGACCCATTGACAGGCCTACCGTCGGCCCCAACCAAGGCCGGCCGCCGTCGCTGCCCTAACGCCGCGGCAACCGCCCGTATCGCCGTCGGCAGGTGGCCAGTTCATGTCGTTCGGCCTCGGGTCAGCGGACGCGTTACAGCTATATTCCCAAAGATATGGAGTGTTACGCAGGTCAGTTTCACTTGGTCCTAAGCAGACCACGTCTGCAAGATTAGGCCAAAAGGTGGGCAATCAATTTCCTTGGAGGAATTTTGACCCAAGTCAAAATCGTTGAATGCTAGATGGACGCACGGCTCTTAGAATAAAGCAACCAGCCGGATCCTTCCTTCTCCAAATGGAGTCTTTGGTGGCCTTTTTTCAACGAGCTATGAAGTCCAGCCCATCAGGAGCTAAGTGTCACTTAAATCCTCATCATTTATTAATTAGAGTACTAATTAGGATAATGATATTGTTTTGTTGGAACTTTTATCACCATTATTTATTAGGGACTAAAATATCCCGAAATTAAATAGTGCTGAGCGACGCTCTTGTGATAATTAGTTTTTACCGTCATTTTAACTAGGGAAAACTTCACGAATGGGCTTAAAAGCCAAAGTAATATCACTATTATCCCGTTTTAAATTTATTTCAAAAGTAGACTAGTTGACTTTTTGTTTTCAAAAATAGGCAAGGTGTATATAAAAGCACATCCCTGCAATCTACTCCGTATATTCTAAAAAAACGCATGTCAACATCCTTTTTAATGGTCTACACCTTTGATACTGAGTAAAATAATACGGCATATAAGCTAAGCTCCAAGATTCATTTAATTTAAGATTTTAGTAAGATTTTTTTTTTTTAATTTCAACTAATTAAAAATAAAAATAGAAGAAAAATATAAAATTAAAATAGAAAAATATTAGAAATAAGGGAAAACAGTAAATGCAAAATTATAAATACAAAGTCTAAAATAGAAAATGTATTTAAATTTTAGAAATTAATCATAAAAATGTAAAAATATGTATTCAAACCTTACAAATACGTATTGAAACCTTATAAATTTTATAAAATAATTTTTAATGAGTTTGTATCCCCGTAATTTATATAAAAATATATAAAACATTTAAGAAAACAAAACAAAACAAACTTTTTAAGAAATCAATACAAAAAGAAAAGGAAAATATATTTAAAAAATATAAATATAAATTGTAAAAAATTCAAAAAATTCTCAAAGTTTAAAAAATGTAAACTTTTTTTTGAAAGGAATGTAAACTTATTTTTATCAATCTCAAAAATTAAAATGTGAATATTTTTAATAACTAATAAAGTTGTAAAATAAATCAAAGAATGCGAATTGTGTGATTTCACAACATTAAAAAATGCTTGAATAAGTATCAAAAACTTGAAAGCATTCAAAAAACTCAAACAAAATTTCATGAAAAAAGAAGAAGATAAGATTCATATTTTTTTACATATCAGAAAATTAAAGTAATTTAAAACGGCATTTAAAATTTAGAATTTGGAAAATTAAAATGTGAAAAGAAGTAAAGAAAATGTTAAAACTATCACATTCAATTAGTATTTTTTGAAAATAAAGTAATAAAATTATAAATTCAGTAAATATATATATATAATTTGTTTTTTTTTGCATATTGTTTCTTTTTATTTCCTTTTGTTGCATAGTGTTTCCTTTTGTTGACAACTCTGGAATTTTTGTTTTTTATTGTTTCATAAATGCAAATTTATCATTTTTGAGATTTAATATAAATGTATATATGATTTTTTACTTCAAAGAAGTAGCAATGATAAATAAAAAATTACATAAGCAACAAAAATTCAGAGCAACTATAAAACAAAAATAAGTAACAAAATGCAACATGATGCAACAGAAAACAACAAGATGCAACAAAAGGCAACACATTTAATGCAACAAAAAGCAACAAAAAAATAATAATTCGTATATAAAAGTATCACAACAATTATGTAATTCAATCTAGTATATCAATGTATTACATATATGTACTGAATACTTATGCTTTCCTTCACTTCCTTTTATGTATCTTTACAACAATTCTTCAAGATTGTCTATCTTCTCTTCATTCATTGATAATCTTCATTTTGTTGTCAAAATCAACGAATCAAGGAACCTTCAATGAAACAAGCAATCCAGCATTTTGGCGAGAAAATAAAAGTCCATCAATATTCTGTTCATGCCAAATAAAAGTAGAAATAATATAAAAGTAGAAATAATATAAAAGTAGAAATGAATCATATAAAAGTAGAAACAATATGAGTAATTTGTTCTCATGCATCTTTTCTTAATGCCTTCTTGATAATACCATATCAACTGAATACACTAACATTATCAGACAACATAGAAACAATGTTATGTATCAACTGAAACTGTAGCATCATTTTAATACGTGGAATATTTAGAAAATACCCTTTGGGAAACTGTCACGTTCCTCAGCCATCCATGACCAACAAGATTTAAGAAATTGTAGCATCATATATACTATGCTTGCGTTAATTCTGTCATGCAAGGGAACATTTGACCTGACTTCCTACATATTTTGCAAAAAATGAAATATGAGCTTATTAAAATAGTAAGGTGTCCATCATGATTGATGGAAGCACATATCCATAGACAGTTTTAGAAAATTGTGAATTGAATTATGCTAGAAAAACATGCATTTCAGATAAAGAGTGGGGTGAAATACATGTTATAGAGTAATAAACTTGTTACCGGTTTAAACTGAAGGACAAAACATAAAGTAAC